TCAGCGTACTAGTAAGAGTACTTGCATGCTCCACCGTTACCGCTGCAGTCCAGAACTGGGACGCGAAAAAGAGCTGAAGCATTCTGAAACACAGGTACCGAGATGCAACAGTCTTCCCACCAGGATGCCGCTACGGACCCTACGGACCCTGGTCTACGTTCCACCCTTTCAAATATAGCAGCGCACCTCCGACCGTGGAAGGATTACGCCCAGAATCCAGCCTTCCTCGCCTCCTTTGCGTTGTCACTCCTCTACCTCACCGTCCTGGGCTTCGGTTCCCAGACGACCACATACCTCCTCACACTCGACTTTACTAGTACTCACGTTTCGCTTATGCGACTTGCCTCCGTCGTAATCGAACTCTCAGCTACCGTCGCAGCCCCTTGGCTTACGAACAAAATTGGTGCCGTACGAGCAGGACTCTGGTTTATCAACGAGCAGCTCTTCTGCATCGCCTTGGCTATCGGGACTTTTGTCATGATGGACAACAAAGCAATGCTAGCAGCCGGTGCTCTGGTTCTTGGAATATGTCTGTCCCGTCTCGGTCTATGGGGATTCGACCTTTCCGTACAATTCCTGGTCCAAGAAGACGCGCCAAAGGCTACACGCGGATCATTCTCCGCTATTGAGATGTCACTACAAAATCTCTTCGAAATGCTTTCTTTTGCTACCACAATGGTGTTTTACCGACCAAAGGACTTTAAGATACCGATTTTCATCAGTGCGGGTGCGATTATGTCTAGTGCGGCGTGCTTCGCTGGCTTTGTAAGGAAGAAGAGAGGGCATTTGCTGCACACGGATAGGTGTGTTAGGAGGATATACAAGAGCAAGACGGGGAGATATCAGGTTCTACCAACCATTGAGGAAGAGATTGAGATTGACGAGTATACGAGCTATGGAAGCAGACATGAAGTGCGATGAGAGGTAGATATCAATTAAATTGAAGATTTCATCCAAGAAACGACATGACAGGACTTGGAAAGCGTCCTCCACCACTTTCCTTTATCATCTCTTCGTCAACCTTTCCATCATCCAGCCCATTATGACCTATAGAGTCTCCACCACCACACCCCTTCCGCTCCACAACCCCCATCCTCTTCAACAACCCCCTCACCATCTCAACCACCACCCCGGGCCTCCTTATCGGCAAATCATGTCCCCAATGCTCAAAATACGTAAACTCAACATCCCCCACTCAACCCACACTGCGCCCTAGCAAGCTGTCCATGAAAAACCCTCGCCCCCTCAATAAACTTCTTTGCAACCCCCCTCTCCTCCTCCGTGCCCCCACCCAACCTAACCCCCTCATCATACAAAACCTGATAATCCCCCGCAATATTACACTGCACGACTGTCAACGGCCGTGCCCCAAACGCCACATTATCAATCTGACGACTCAGCGCCAGCGCATGCGCAGACGCATGCGTGTCTTCCAATGCAAGCGCTCGCGAGCTCCGCCCCGTCGCTTCAATCGCGTACCTCCACTCTGCGTCGCTGAACCCAGCTTCTTGCTTCAGATGCGTGAGGGCGGCTAGATTAACATATTTGCCCACGGCTTCCAATTCCCGCGGCGGGATATGATTGAACAGCGCTAGCATGAGCTCGCTCGCGGTGTCGAACAGTAACATACCGCCCACCTCGCCTTCCGAACATGTTTGCAGAAACGTCCGCGCTGCTATTCCGCCGAAGGAGTGGGCGGCGAGTAAGTACGGTCCCTCAAGCCCGGTTTCTCTAAGCAGGATACGCAGATCCCGCGCTGTGTCATGGCATAGGATTTGTGTTATTTGCGGTGGTAGGGTGCTGTGGTCGTAGCCGGCGCGGTCGTAGAACAGACAGCGTATGTGGGGCGAGAGGTGGCGTTGGAGGAGCGTGTATACTGCGCTGGGTGCGCCGGCGCCGGTGAAGAAGATGAGGAGCGGGGAGGTGGGTGTGCGTAGGGGGCCGCTGATTGTGGTGGAGAGGACGTGTGTGGTGTTTATTGGGACGAGGGCGGTGTGGGTGGGGGATGTGAGCCAGGGGTTTTTAGAGGAGGGGAGGCGCATTTTTGGGAGAGGATAGGAATTGGAGATGGGAGGATGCGATGGGATGGTATATTTAGGATTAAGGGGTGTTGTTAAATACTTCTCTTTCTCTTATGCAGCCTTATCACACATCACTATATTGATGCTGCAGCCCCGTACGTCATGTCAGCATTCCCATTGCAGATTGCCGTTCTTGTTTTCAGTGCGCAAGCTATGAGGAGCTTATAGTCGCAACATTGAGTTGTTTGTACATTGATTTAAATCGCAGATTGCGATATTGACTGCATGAGAATGTGTCAAAGATCGTCAATCAGCCTCCATAAGGCCTGTAGGACCATTTCCTAAAAACGTACTACAGTACTCAGTGACTGGCGGGGATAACGTAGAGATTGCATATTATATGCAAGGCCACCCATTACCTGCAGTCCTAAGAGGTTAGAGGAGCGGGATTAGATATTACACGGCGGTTCAACGGCAACGTCTTTTTGTACCCCTAAAGTAGGATAGACTGTGTAGTCGAATAGTGTGATAAAGTTGTATCGCTGCTACAAACCGCAACAAAAGTAGAAGCGAAACGTCTCTATACCTCTCGCTGGCAAAAAGATACATCCCTTTCCCCGCATTGCTACTACCCTCTCTTCTGCGATCCTGTGATCTCCACCCAAGAGAAGGTTGTCCTGGCAAAAAAATATTGTAGCTGTTTCTCCGCTCCCAGAATCGAACTAGGGACCTTTCGATAACAATTGCTATTACAGTCGAACGTGATAACTAGAGAGGATGTTAGAGGCTGAGTGGGAAGATATCGACAGTATCAGAACTTACACCAACTACACCAAGCGGAGTTTTCTGTCGAGTGGACAGGCTTGTTGATGGAGGATTTGTGGAAGAGTTGTTCTATAACCTTATTCAAAAAAGTTAGGTAATACAAGGGGAGGTTGGAAGAAGTTTGGAAATATTCGTTGTTCGTGTGAAGAAACGACAGAACAATGGTTGGGATAGTGGGGCAGGTACCCACGGTGGTGATGATGCGGGGTAGCAACGGTCGTATACATACACCTTAGCGGTACCACCTCCAAACGCATTATAATTAGTCGCTTGAATTATCATCTAGTTCCCGAAGAAGCAGGTACAATGTCGTGCAAACACCAGCATGTCAAGGTTCCACGTTGATTCTGGCGGTTATCTGCCTCCTGGTATCATTGCTCTATCCTACTCGTTTCTGATAACCTACCTAATATTACACCTGCGAATCCGTTCCTCATTCATAGGAATGAGGTCTCGTCATCTGTATAAGTGAGGGAGCCTTCCTCCTCGCCATTACACGCATCCAATAGGTCACTTATGTCGCTTCCATAATCATCTTCAGCATTGCATCGCTCTGCTTTCTCATACCGCTCAACGTCTCTGATCTCGCTCTGTGTAAGCGACTGCTTTGGAGCTTGCTCCAACTGAAGAACGAAATGGGGAACAGCAGTCTACGCTCCGCCGTTAAGCAAATACTCAATTGCGCCCTGAACGTTGCCGCCACTTCTCCGCAACGCCGAAACGTTGCGCTCGAACTCGTAGAAACCCATCTCGTTTAGCTGCCTGAGCTGCGTTTCGTACACCTCCTCAGGCGGTCGAGTATCCGCTGGTGGAGGTGTACCAAAGCCACCTGCTCCGCCGAATCCACCGGGGCCGAAGAGTGCAGCGAATGGATTGGCCGCAGCGCCGCCTGCACCAGGTGCTCCTGTCTCTCCCAAAGAACCGAATGGGTTTGCTCCAGCACCTCCAGCGCCGCCCATCATTTGCATCATGTTGCGCATGGCTTCAGGGTTCTGCATCATCCTCTGAGCTGCCTCGGCGATTGGGTTCGCTTGTCCTCCTTGCGCACCGGCTCCTCCGAACAAGTTAGGAAAGGTGCTTGAGGCGTCTTGTGTGTTTTGCGCTGCGCCAGCGTTTGCGCCCGGTTGCTGAGGCGCGAAAGGATTCTGTCCGCCGGCAAACAGGCTAGCAAAGGGATTGGCTCCACCAGCACCTCCACCGAACGCTGCGAAAGGATCTGCGGGAGCGCCTGTATTGGGCTGGTTTGGTGTCGCCGTGGCGCCTTGATCTGTCGCTGTCGAGCCTGGTGTGTTGTCGGTAGCGCCTGGAGCTGGGAAGCTTGCTGCACCACCTGGAGCGCCTCCACCCATGCTTCGCTGCATCCTCAGTTGCATGCGCATCATCTCTGGGCTAAACATCATGCGGCGCATCTCGGGATCTCGGAGTACCTGCTGCAGCATCGGATTGTCGCGTATCTGTGACATGTTAGAAGTAGCCATAGTAGAGCTGGCACAGGACCTACCATAGGACTCTGCAGCATCATATCGACCACTGCAGGGTTGTTCATGGCTTCATTCATCTGTGACAAGAACATTGGGTTCTCCATTTGTTCGAGCATTGACTCAGTCGTTGGTGGGGGGCCCATCTACGAATTGTCAGTACACGCTCGACTAGGCCGAACTCGAGGACACTTACACCTCCATCGGGCCCAAACATGTCCATGCCAGGCAAGCCATGAAATCCAGCATACCGTGCGCCTGTAAGACCAGCAAGAGGATTGTTGCCTGTTCCTGCTGCGATATTGGTCGGTACCTGAGGCGTAGGAGTCCCGCTTCCACCTGTAGTGCTCGTTGTGCCTTGGCTGGGGTTCTGCCTTGCATTGCTCGCGGCGCCCTTGACAAGATGTACTGTATGACCGTCCTTGATCTTGACGCTGGCGAGTGTGTCGGGATCCTTCAGTACGCGGCCTGAGTATATCAAGCGCTGGCGCTCGGCGGGCACATCTGCATATTCCGATGTCGAGAGCTTGGCTTTGAGGTCGGCAATGGTAGTGGCACTGGATAGTGTGAGGACGTGTTTCTGATCGTTGGCAGCCTTGACGTTGAAAGTGATCTGCGTGTCATCCGTCGTCGTGGCGGCGTCGTCGGCCATCTTGTAAACAGCGAGGGGGTCTGTTATTCTTATGTGCGATAGAGTTCCTGGGCTAGTAGTCTCCAAGCTGCGTATTAATACCGTGATCTCGGCAAGGAGAATAATGTCTCGTTAGGAAGAAGAGACGTGGTGAAGTTAGGTAGAGTAGAGAGGCTGTGGGTAGCTTTGGATTCGATTGGAAGGCAGTAGAACGTCACTGACCCGCCATGGTACCCTGCTTCCTTAGCGTTAGCACAACGCTGCCTGCTGCCATGTGGCGCGGCTGATTACTAAAGCCCGCATGCCAAGCTCTGGGTGGGGAAGGAGCGAGCGGAGGTCGACCGGGGAGCTAGCCGAGGTATCTTTGAACGCGGAGGGCTAATACGTCTCATCTCAGCAAGCTGCAATGGAGCTCTTGTGTAAAGTCGGCCCTTACTCTCGTCATCATTCAAAAGTACCAGACTGACCTCCTCTTTTCTGCGCTTGTGCCTTCCGTAGTCAATTGCCTCTCTGAGACCACAATCGATTACATTGTCAACATCAGCGCTAGCTAGACATCAAAATGAAGGGTATACAGATCAAAGAATATGTTGAGGTAGGTCTCTTATATCCTATCCTGAGCATGTCAGCTGATGTCCCCAGGGTCCCAACGACCTCAAAGTCATTGATCTCCCAACACCCACCCCAAAACCCAACGAGTACTTAATCGCCATCCATGCCACGGCAGCGAACTTCTTCGATATACTACAAATTCGCGGAAAATACCAAACCCAGCCACCATTCCCTTGGGTAGCTGGAATGGAGTTTTCTGGAGTAGTTCTAAAGGCACCAACAGCTTTGCCCGGTGGCAAGACGCCAGCATTCAAGGAAGGCGACAAAGTGTTTGGCGGAAACCAGGGCGCATATGCCACACATATCACATGTACAGAGGAGATGTTGAAGCCTCTGCCCGAAGGATGGAGTTATGAGGATGCGGCCGGCATGTTTGTTACAGGACCAACGAGTTATGGTGGGTTGGTAGTCAGGGCCGGCGTCAAAGAAGGTATGTTGTCCCCTTCATCTCTTTTTCGCTTTCACTAAGTCAATGAAAAGGCGACTGGGTACTCGTGCATGCAGCAGCAGGCGGTGTCGGACTAGCTGCCGTTCAAATTGCCAAGGCCTTCGGCGCAACTGTCATCGCAACAGCTGGTACCGCCCACAAACTTGATGTGGCCCGCTCGTTTGGTGCAGACTACGCTGTCAACTACCGTGATGCCGACTGGCCTGAGCAAGTCAAGAAACTTACTCCCAAGGGTCGCGGTGTAGACATTGTCTATGATCCCGTTGGACTTATTGACAAGTCCATGAAATGCATTGCCTGGAATGGTAGACTGCTGGTGATCGGCTTTGCCGGAGGACCCATCGAGAAGATCGCTACAAACCGTATCTTGCTGAAAAACATCAGTGTCGTTGGTTTGTTCTGGGGTGCGTTAATCGAGAAACAACCCGAGATCGAGACTCAAGTTTGGGATGGCATCTTCAAGTTGGTCAAAGAGGGGAAGTATAGGGGCACTACCTTTACTGACAAGGAATATGTTGGGCTGGAGAGTGTACCTGCTGCACTAAATGTGTTGGGTGGAAGAGATAGCTGGGGAAAAGTCATAGTCAAGGTGCCGCAAGATGGAGCAAGTAAGTTGTAAGATCATTTTGAGTGTGGTTAGCAAGGAAAGCAGTAACTACTTCAATGAAACTTACAACTTTTCAAATTCAAGTGGTTGAACCTCTGTATTGCTTGTCTACCATCAAACCCGATACCAAATCCGTGCAGGTAATGTTACTGATGTAGTCTATTCACTGACAACATCTGGTAGTAGACGACCTCGCGACGAGTCACCTCAAACACATACTGCTGCTTTCCGAAGGTTCGACCCAAAACCGGGAATAGGCTTAGCGTCAGGCAACAGTCCCTATGGCGCAACGCTAACCATTGCTCGAGTCTGCTACAATCGTTGCCCGAGTCTGCTACAATCGTTTCCCGTGTCTACTACAATCGTTTCCCAAGTCTGCTACACAAGCAGCCAGGCTAAGGCCCACCAGGAAAGATTTCGCAATTATAGTAAGTGGCAAAGGTCAACAATGCACGACAGATGTACTTACATACCTAAGGCCTCACAAGATACCACCCATCAACCGATTGCAGAATCAATATGCACCTGTGACCTCGAATCCTCATCCCCCATCACCCAAGAGCCTCTCGCATGGTCCCTCACTCCATCCACCATACAAGACCAAAACACATGTCCCTTCTGCACGCCCATCCCGCGCGAAATCCGCGACATGATCTTCAGCTACGCCCTCACAGACACCACCTCCTACCCTGTGGATCGTGAACCGTGCAGGGCCGTCTAGACCATAACATTCACATGCCAGAGTACCGAAACCCTTGTCTCTACTCTTCCGACATGGCATTATCTCTGCTTCTGACCTGCAAGGCAATCTATCTGGAGACTCATATCACACCACTATGTGTGAACCCATTCGTCATCACAGCACTACGAAGCCAGATGAGCAGTGCACTCAAGGTATGGCAGCTAGCAGAGATCAGGGGGCTGGATATCACACTTGAGCAGTGGGCCCTCGATTGTGGCCACTTGTTCAAGAAGCTAAAATCCTGGGCTGCTAAATCTCGAAAAAAGGGTGCTTATATGGTGCCCGAGGTGTACAAAGAAAAGTATACATGGGGTAGATATTGCAGTTACGCAACCTCCTTCAACTCCGTTCTCATTCCTGTCAATGGCGTGCCGGACAAAAAACCTCGGCGTCTATGCGAAATCTTGACAAACGTACAAACTGCCCCCTTCTTTCCGACTCTCCAATGCTTCGTTAACAAGCGTTGTAGTGTCTTCCAACCACTTACACACTTAACACTACGCATACACCACGGAGACTGGTGGATGGATCAACCCTACAAGAATGACGACCCTAAACACAGACTGTATATGGACCCTACGTTCGGAGTCATTCGCGCCGGCTGTGAAACTAGCGACCTCATGATGTTTCGAGCTGCCGAGCGCCGCATCGGGAGACAGCTAGATCAAGCCACCGAATCACCTTTCGGTCATTGCTGGGGTCCGCAGATAGGGAAGGTACTACCTGATCTAAAGAGTTGGGAGCTTGTGCTTGAGATGTTCAAGATGAAAGCAGATCTGTTGCATAACGTGGTCGAGTGTGCGAAGACGTGGAGGTTCGCAATGGGGGCCTTGGATGGAGAACAGGTTGCGGAGAGGAACCGACAAATGCTTGTTTGGGATGGGGAGGTGATTGTGAAGGAGTGGAAAAAGAAAAATGGTATGGTTGATTTGAGTTTGCCGAAAGATGCGGCTGATGGGTACATTGAATTCGAGGTTCAGGTTGTGAGGTATGTGAAGAAGACGGTTGATTAGGGGGCAGGGCACAGTTTGTAGAGGGCATCTTTGTTCATTCCATGTAATCTTCAACCCTAGCCATGTATCTAGGTATATGGTATCTGACCGTGTACAAACATTACCCAAGTCCTTTTCTATCGATGTTTGAGGTGCTTCCCAGTTCGCACTAAAGTAGCCCCAATAGGTAGTTCGACATGGCTTCGCAGCACACGTACACAACGCTCCAGAGCAAGATGGCCACAAGCATGATGCCGAAGAACATGATCCGGTCTTTCAAGTTGCTGAACTCGCCGTGTGCACCGAATAGTAAGGCTACTACAACCATTGCGATGGAAAGCGCAAGGCTGTACTTGAAGCTAACACACAGACGTAGTAGAGTCATGACCAGCGTCAGGCGCCTCAAGTTCAAAGCCGGGTTACGGACACCCACGTTCGTGCAGCGGTCGACAACAAGCTCCGCATAGTATAGCAGGCAGTGGCGGTACCACAGGAAGCGAAGAAAGGTGTTTACTGGGGTTGGTAGCGGATCGAAGAGATAGGAGACTTGGAGTGATACCGCTTCGATTTTCTGGACAATTCCCAGGACAATATCGTCGAAAGTGACTACGGCAGATGGTCCGAACAACGGAGCTGCACAGAGTGAACAAAGATGGCCCTGGTGACCTCCAATCATGATTAACCACAGTCCGCAACAATCAATTAAGTGGGTCCTAGAAGGTTCAGATTGGATTGATTGATTACCGCTTTAAGCCTAGTAGTTACCTATAGGAGTTTAAGCCCTACCTAGATAGGTAAGTGGGTCTAGGAGAGTGACCGGATTGAATTGATTGTTGCGGAGTCTATGATTAACAGACACGGACGGCCGAATACGTGGTTACAGGGCAGGACTCGAACTGCGAGATGGTCGCTGTCGTTGTATTCGCACAAGCCTAGACCTATCAGCATACTATACAAGAAGCGGCAAGCTACTTACAGAAAGCGCAAATATCGTCGTTGAACTTGTCATAGGGAGAAGAGGGGACAACATGTTGCTTGAGAAAGGTCTTCTTCGAGATGCCTAACACCATGCCTGACATGATGGCTGGAGTAGGGGTTGTATTTCCGCCTTCTGGCGATGTAGTGAGTTGAAAAGGAGGAGATTCGATCAATCTGCGGACCAAGTAGTTTAGAGTGGCGCGTGATGACCATACTACAAGAAGGGCGTGGCAACAACGCACGGACGCGACATCAGTGAAAGAAAATGAGTGACATGCTATCCGCCCAACAACTAAACTAAGCCCTTTCTGCAGATATAAATGTTTTCTATGTTTGAAGTTTGTCATACCAAGTGGTATCACCGTAAAAGAAGAGAAGGAACAAGAGAAGGAAGAGCGCAATCCTAGCAAGAAACGACGGCCGTAAATGTTTGAACTGTGACTCGATGGAACGGAAAATATACAGTCAACTAGGAGGGCTTGAAAGATATAAGAATTTTGAATAGGGGCAGAGCCATTTGAGGGCCGGCGATGTGGGAGTCTGCAGAAAGAGCAAACTTTCAATGATGAGTGTCTCAGCTATAGCAACCAAGTAACGAATTATTGCAGTCTCAGTAGTTATGCGTTGACCAGCTTTCTCGCTGTCCCTTCTCACCTATCAGGTGCTCTGTACAAGCATCAACACCATGTACAAGCCATTTGCCTCAATCAATCCTTCGCATACGATCGCAATGGTAACACGCAAAAGTAGCAAAAGGGGAGAACTTGAGTGTTGAGAAGAGAAAGATCTCGGATGGTTCGACAGGAAACTTGTGCCTGCAAAGAGAAAGGCTACCCATCTTGTACAAAGCAGAATAGGGCGCGGAGGACACTGTAAAGCATCTGGGCGAGAACCATCGACGAAATATGACCTCCCACAGCCTTTACAACGCAATATCGCCATCATCGGCTTGACAACTCCTCAGCTTACAGGGCCATAGTTACTATGAGATGATACCAAGTCCACTCATGGCCTTATTGTTGTTTTTGTTGTTGCCTGGAAGTTGCGGTCGCGCTACCTTGCACGTGCACTGGCGTCACAGGCGAGGAGGGGCCGAGGTTTTGCCGTCGCTAGCGCGCCCGGGCTCAGCTACAAAACCCCGCCAAAAATGTTTCTCACTTCTCCAACGGCCTGCCTCGCCAAAGCTGCGTTTCTTTGCACACATACAGACGCTTCCACCAAGTTGTCCTAGCCTGCAAATGAGAAATTCGGAGTAATCTTCACTTTTTATCACGTCCTTTGGGACTGTACTGCTCGTAAGAGCCTGGCGTGACTCACGTCTGCATTCGGCATCAGAAAGCTCAGGGCCTAGAAAGCAGGCTTCTACTTCGGTGGGAGTGTGTGGAACTGGTGTCCCTATGGGAGTCGGTGCGAAGATTGTGTGCTCTGAACCTCTGGGAGAGGAGTGACACTGTAGTACAATACGCAGCGTACTTGACCTTAAGTAGCCCTTGGGTGAAAAAGGGCACAGTATCATTCGATTCTGATTACTCTGGCGAGGCAGGCCGTTCACCATTTTTTTCTACGTAAGTGTGCTATTTTGCGCAGCATCTATCAGTTCAAGGATACTACTAACAAAAAATCACGCAACCCACGCAACCCGCCTTACCTTCAGCCATGTCACCTTTTCTCTCCTGCACCTGCTCGCCTAGGCCCCTTCGCCGCGTCCTTCGACCGTATACATGATATCCGTCCGCAGCGTATACTTTGTTCCGCTTACCACATCGTCGCCGGAGTGGATGAGATTGCGATGCTGGAATAGCAGGACGCGTCCGGCCTTTGGTTCGACATCTATACGCTGGACCAAATTGCCGCTGAAGAAAGTTGTGGCGCCGCCTTCTAGCTGCCGCACCCCACTCTTTTCCACAGCGCCGTTTAGATACAGATGCAGGGTAAAGTATGACCGCTCGGTTCTATCGGGTGTTTCGTAGGCACCATCACAGTGGGCTGCATGGATCAGTATACGCAAGAAAACTACCGGAAAGAATACATACGTTTGAAGTACTCGCCGCCAATGTATTTGAGATATCGTCCGCGCTCGTTCAGCCTCGTCACTTTCCACGTTTCTTTACGCTTCACGGGACCGTATCCGGTAACTTCGGCCCAGTTTTGGAGACGATGGATCTCTGGTACTGATGTCTCTATTCTGGCCCAAAGCCTCGTCATGAGTTCCTTGTTGTCCCAGATGATGCGGCCGCACTTTCTTGTGTCCTCATACATGGCTTGCATACCCCCACCGATGTTGACCAATGCTCTTTCCCATTTGCCATCTGTGGTTGCCTCGGCCGCTTCAAGCAATGTTTTGCATTCCTTCTCTGTGAGTACACCGTCTAGTACGACTGCCCATGCATTCTGGTATTCCGGGAGGCCTTGTTTGTTGAAGTCAATTTTGGTTTTGGTTAGGTCAGGCGCTGGGTCCTCGAGGAACCCATGGGGTAGTTTATGTGTCGAGGTTGATGCCATAGTTGCTGATATTGTGATTGAATTGAGCGCAGGTGAAGTGTATATGAGCACTTGACTAGCCCCAGAGCTGAACTGGATTGCGGGGCGGTGAACGATGCCATTGGCCTTCAGGGACTGTTGCCTGGTATAGCACAGCCACGCCGAAAGGTTTCACCGGTGGTCGATGTCGTCCGGATAGTGTGAGCCATCATGTGGCATGTGGTGATGTAAAATGATCATGTATGAGTAGTAATCATGTGTACATTGTGCCTTGCAGCTGAACTCTCTGCTGCGAGCTCTGAAAGCTCTATAAATAACAACAGAAAAAGCAAATCTCATACCCCGCCAATGGAGCTGCATTGCGCGGGTACCTGAACGCATTCAATCATCTTAGACTCTTGCACCTACTACTTTCGACCATCGCCCTTGTCGGTTGCCAGAATGGGGGGAGTGAGTGAGGTCCGGGGAGGCGCGGGACATTCAGTCACGTGGAAGCGGCAGGCGCAGCCCTGTACATTCTTTGGTTCGCGTTTCAGGCTCGCAGGCTCCCGCTGCTCAACTAACTCCCACACCACAGCCATTGATCCGCGGCATCCGAACGACTCGTGTCCAGCCCAGTGGTGCAACCGCATGTGACTTCTCGGCCGTATATCATCATCCCTGCAGAGGGCGCCTCGACGCGACGTAAGCCACTGCCGCTCGCGCCACCAACCGTTGCGCCAAGGCAGAGCTGGCTCACTCCTAATTTCCCATCTCCACGCCAGCTTCAGGGCGAAGGAGAGGTGCGCAGACGACACGCGCCGACCGCGACAGATTCGCCGACTCTCGTATCAATTGCCTCACCCTTTGGAGCCTCCAGCTACACCTTCTCGTCGCCCCTCCCCCCGACCACGCATTGACAACCCCGTCACTGTTCCCTCAACACCCGCCAAACAAAACAAGCAAACGCACTGTGGGCTCCACGCCCTTCCGCAGACCCTGGGGCTCTTGACAATCGCTCCTTATCTCGAACCCAGCGACAATCGTCGCGCGCCCCTCGCTATCACCATCCATTAGACGCGCCGCCGCCATGTCGCACCCGCAAGCTCAAGATGATCAAAACGTAAATACCGGACCTATCGTTGGCCGCTTTCCCAACCTATTTGAAGTGCTGGGCCGGAGAACGGTCGCACCCCTAGATCTTTTCTCCTTCTACATCTACATGCGAGACCAGCAACGATCGGTAGACTACTTGGACTTTTGGTAAGGCAAGCGCAACCAAGGCACGTTGCAAATGCTAACAAGCAACAGGCTCGATGTATCGCAACACCTCCACCTATGCCGGCTGTATGTGCGTAGGCTGCACAGGAGCATGATCGAGGAGACACCGGACATGGAGAAGAATAGCAAGCGGTCGTCCTACATCTTGGACAACGCTGGGGAGGGACCTTCTAATGAGAAAGGCGACAACATGTCTGATCAGCGCTTGTCCGCCTTCCTGCGCTCCGATCGCGGAAGCCGCCACCATTCACCACAGAACAGCCAAGGTAGTAATCAGAGTCGCGAGCTTCCACAGCCAGGCCTGAACTTACACGAGACACCAGGTGACTCGACAGGGCAGAACTCGTCTACTGACAACACCTCACCTAATCGGGATGACTTGCGCGCATCAGCTGAGAAGATCCTCTACACATACCTGCTGCCCGGATCCGAGCGAGAGATCATTATTCCCCAGAGTATCCTCGCAGACGTTCAGGAAGCCATAGAAGGACCCGAACAGCGTGCAGACCCGGAACTCTTTGATCATGCCAAAGACTACGTCTTTCAGGCCATGGAGCGTGACGCATTCCCAGGTTTCCTTCAGACCAAAGGGCTCGGCAACCTAGTTCCCCAGAGCATGTTTGCGCGACTCATTATAGGCTTGATCAGCTTCACCGCTGGCTGTTGGGCAGCCATGGTTCTCATCTTCCTGGACAAGTCAAGGTCTACACGGTGCTGGGTATGTCCCACGGTTGATTTCCAGAAGCACAATTGACTAACAACATATGCAGATTATCCTTCCCTTTGGTATTGCCATATACCTCATGTTAACATACCAGTACATGCTCGATCCCCTCATCGCCCTGGCCGGTTACAGCGAGTACACATTCTTCGACTTCAACCGAATTAGGGAACCGTTTGTCAAGAAGTCGCTCAACAGGCGCTCATGCACCGTACTGATCGTCTTCTTGATTGTCACGACAGCTTGGTGCTGTCTCTTCATCTTCGTCCCCGGCAAGCGTCTGTAAGACACGTCGGGTTACCTTTCACTTCTTACATGACGTTAATTGTTTATTTTTTTTGTGGCATTCTCAGCTGCACAAATGGATGCGGTACTGGGAATAGCCTGAGGGGGAGGTGCAGAAGTAATGCAAGCGGGCGACGTTAAGATACCCCCTCGCTTCGTCGACATATGACCTACAGCAGGACTTCCATTTGTTTTTTAGTGTAGTTTGGATTGCGTATCTTCTGGTTATGCACAGCCCCTCGATGTACAGAGCGCGGCGTTTGGGTGTTTATTTATGAGACAATCATTCAGCGAGCTTTGATAGGGCAAAAGACCCAACTTCATACTAGCCACTACTCAAGATTACCATAGTGACGTGAGATGAGAAATGCGTCGACTTATGCACCCCTGATTAGCATTTGGCGAGCCGTTAGCATGTGGAGTCGCGCTGCATGCACGCCAAGCCTAATGACGTGAACCGCGGCCGGGTTCAACCACGTCGAATTGAACCTCTACCTCCAATATCGGCTTATTACGCGCCGCCACGGTCGCAATTCACCCCATCTCTGCCGGTACTTGTCATTGAGAAGACCAGAATACACCAAACATAACCACATTCGCTTCAACGTGCAGCATCTGCGGCAGCCAACCGTTTGTTGAACTACGGCCACTAGTAAAGTGGATAGCAGTAACCAGCAAAATGAGCGGCCCAACAGCTAAGAGCAAGAGAGGGCCGACGGTGCTCATGACGGATGCTCGCGACGCGAAACCTCGAGCACCTCAACGACCCGCTGCCCTCCAGAGACAAGCCACGGGCGCACGATTGATTTCTGTCGACAACATCCTGCAATACGCCTCCGACATTCCTTCGCAACAGCAACGAGGCCCACCGGGCAATCGACCCATGAATCACACGCGCACCCCCAGCGGTCGACACCCTCTCGATCCTAGGTTGACTGGCCGACTGATTCCCCAGCACATGCCGACGCGATCCAGCAAGCTCAGCGAAAAGCTTGTCCTGCTACCCGAGACCGAAGGCCAAGACGACGATGAGAAGGTAGACTTTGACGAGGATGAATACGAGGGCCCGCCTACAGATGAGGAACTCGCAAGACGAACTGCCAAGGGTGGTCCCAACGACAAGAGTTACGCGGAGCGGCTGCCCAAAGCCAAGAGGACGGACAAGCTCTCGCGTGTCACGGCCTACTGCACCGCGCAAGCATACAAGATGAAAAGCACCGCCGAATTCGTAAAGGACCAACACCATGCGCGCACCAAGCTGTATGATGACTGTCTCTACACGGTATACCATCTTCCGTTGCTGCCAGGTAGCGACGGTTATCGCGTCCGGAGTAGTCCTGCGCTGAAAAGCCCGGGCGGCAAGACCGTCCTGGACGAGGAGATTGAGCGAAACGAGCAGCGCGATCATCAAGAGGGCTACTTTGGCGATGAGGAGACGTACTATGTGCGTGACGACCATGAGCTAGACCAACCCTACGATCGCAGCCAAAACCGTCGGGACTCGACGGAGAACTCAAGAGTTGCGCCCAATGCGCTGACCTTTGGTGAGATGTTTGTCTTCTCATACGGTGTAGTTGTTTTCTGGAACTTTACCGAAAAGCAAGAAAAGGATATCCTCGCCGACCTCACCTTTTCCGCAAATGCCACCGGCATCTCCATCGCAACACGGCCTCTGACCGAATCCGACTTTGAGACTGAAGAGTTCCACTTTGAATACAACCCGGATATTCAGCGGCCTCGTGTCTACAACGACATGATTACTTTGAAGAGCGGAGACCACATGATCAAGCTCGCCATGAGCCACGCCATCGCACAGAGCACAAAGCTCAGTCTGTTCGAAGAGGGCATGAACCGAACCATGCTGGCCGCACAATACGTCCCGAAGCGCCTAGCACTGACAGGTAAACTGGGTATGCGAAGAACCGACGTCGTCAAGATGATTGGCCAACTCTTCACCAGCCGTGTAGACGTAAACCTCTGTACGTAACCTCCCCCTTTCCCACAACTAACCAACCACATTCATCTACTAACCCCATCCCAGCCTCAAACATGCTCGACACCCCCAACTTCTTCTGGGACGCCGAACCCACACTCCACCCCCTCTACACCGCCGTCCGCGAATACCTCGAAATCAAACCCCGCATCCAGGTCCTCAACGAGCGCTGCCAAGTCTTCCTTGACCTCGGTGAAATCCTCTCAGACTCCATTAGCGACAAGAAAATGACGAAAATCACCTGGATCATCATTGTGCTCATTGTTCTGAGTATCTGCATCACGTGCTTGGAGGTGCTGCTTCGTTTTGCTATTCTGCAAAAGGGGAGGACGAATGTGCCGGTGCAGGGAATGAATGTTGGGGCTGGGAGTGGATTGAAGGCTGTGGGACCCCCGGCGTATGCGGGGCCGGCTCTGCTGGTGGCGAGGAGCTTGATCTGGGTGGGTGGTGGGGTTAAGGGTATGCTTGTGGGATGAGGATTCATGTGCGTATGTGCGTATATGTCCGAGATGGTAGTGGTGCAAAGTAAGAGAGTTTGAATGGCGTTCAGAGGGTATATACGGTCACTTTTTTCTCTAGTGCATATTTGCAAGATTCATACTCTTAGATAGGCGTTTGAGAGTATGTATTCTCCATTGTGGCTTAGCGGATGGCATTTTTTTAGTGTTACGCGGTAGATGCAGTAATGTTCGTATAACGAGATCTTCAAAATGCGTGGTCTTATTTTGTACAGTGCTTTTCTAATTGTTTGAGTGTGCCTTGTGTAGTATGTCATATCAGCCCCAAGGCCATGTTATCGCTACGACGCTACTTGACAAAGTTCAAATACTCGCTATTATGTTTTGTAATCCACTCTAGCTCGGAACACGCCGTTTTCCGGCCTGGTTTGTTGTACACTGTTCGGTTCATCGGGATAATGATGAGCCGTAAGCTCTGAGTCATACGTACATATTGCTGAGATCATCTTTTTATATATATTGATGGTACTCCTATGTTCTTTGAGAGTTGGAACCAATGTTCATTTCCCTCTTCAGATCACGTTTCCAAATTGCCGCCACAAGCTCACTAATCCCCACACACCACGCCCATAATGACAGACGTAGAGAACGCACTTTCCGTAGCAGAACGCGGAGCCCTCCGCCACACCCTAGCAGCCACAACCGACGCCTACATCTCCTCCATCCCCAAAGTCGAACTCCACATCCACATCGAAGGCATCATAAGCGCGTCCCTAAAATGGGAATTTTCCCAAAGAAACAACCTCCTAATCACCAACCCACGAACCGGCCACCCCTTCTCCTCCCTCGCTGAACTAGAAGACTCCCACGATACCTTGAAGCCCCGCAAGGGAAATCGCATGGACAATACCGAAGAGACTTTGTCGTTTTTTGAGGCTTATTACGGGGGCTTTGAGGTGCTGAAAACGCAGCTGGATTATTACGATTTGGCCATGGCGTATTATGAACGCGCGGCGGAGATAAAGGTGAGGTATGCGGAGATTTTCTTTGATCCGCAGGGGCATACGAGATGTGGGACGGGGTGGGATGTGATGATGGAGGGGTTTCGGGAGGCGCAGAGGAGAGCTAGGGAGGAGCTTGGTGTAAGTTGGCCTGTTAAATTCCCTGGAGAGCCAGGTATGGGGGCTGTTTTACTGACGGTGTGGTTGTAGGTGGAATCTGCGTGGATCATGTGCTTTCTCCGGGATGAATCACCAGAGTCTGCGATGGAGCATTATAATGCGGCACTGGAATACCGCGATATGATAGTGGGGATTGGTCTTGACTCGAACGAAGTCGATAGACCACCGTCGTTGTTTGATGACATCTTTGTTCGAGCGAGGAAGGATGGCTTTCGGATTACAGCGCATTGTGACGTTGGCAAGTCGTATCCTCTCGAACATATCCATCAGGTGGCATCGAGTATCGCAGGCACAGGTGCTGACAGGATCGACCATGGACTAAATGCTGCTAGCGACTCAAATCTCATGACCTTGATCAAGGAGAAGGGTCTCGGAATGACTATCTGCCCTTGGTCGTATATTCGCCACCAACCGATGGACGAGGTGTTCCAACGCATTAGAGCGCTCTTTTACGCTGGTATCATGATTTCCATTGCGAGCGACGACCCGACGTTTATGGAGGATACGTGGGTGCTGGAGAACTTGCTGGTGGTGAAGAGGTACTGCGGCTTTACGAATTTGGAGATACAGAGGTTGGCTGAGAACGCGATAAAGATGTGCTGGGCTTCTGAAGACGCGAAAAGGCAAATGTTGCTGGAGCTGTATAGTATTGATCCAGGGACTTAGATGATCCTGTAAGTATACCGACATAACTATGTCCTCTCTGCTGGTTGTGCGATCTCATGGTGTATAGTCGGGTGTCTTATGCCCGGCGTCGTTCAATGCGCTATGTTGTCCCAATTCTTTGCCCAGCTAGCAAGCCTCGTGATATTTTCTGGTGACTTTGCAGCCTCCTCGCCCCGGTCTCTGTGCATCTTCATGATCAATTCACGAATCATTCTTGCGTTTTGGTTCATATAGCTAGCTGCTAGACGTCTCACGTAGAGTTCTACATGTGCCATCGTGCATTAATTCTGAAGGTTGTAATGCTTACTGTTCGAATGCTATCTCAAAATTTGTGTATGTAGAGCAATGTGTGGTTGAAGCAATTCTCTCTCCTATTCTTCGGTAAAATGGGTTTTCCGGCGATAACGGATCGACGATAGGAGAGCTCATGGCCTCTATATGAGATCGCCGTGCTCCTCCCTAATGTCAAGAAACGTCCGTTGATAGATAAGCAGTGTTATCCGATAAGGCAAAGATATTATCCCGCTAACTATATGATTGAGATGATATACTTGCCATCTCCGCAATCTTTCTCATACTCGAACCAATCTTGGTTCTTGACAGAGGCGAATTCCTTCCAGTTACTCACTGTTAGTTCCGCAGGTAAATACATCTTACTACAACCAACTCTCCGGAATTGGCCCACGGTAGTACCGGCCAGGACCAGAAATAGACATTCCATACCGCAAGACTGATCTCCCCCATAAGCGTTATCGGGATCCATGGTAAGAATTAGAAAATGCAACTTTGCGATGTGGTGAGGTGCATCGATCGCTCCACGTGACATGCGAGATTTCAAAAGCTTCTCGTTGAATTTGAAAGTAGCGAAAGATGTACTCGATTTCGTCGATAAGAACCTGATGGTCGCTAGCCGGCAGAATATTCTCAGAGTACCACCAATGACTGCGCCGGTCCGGTCCGCCGTAGCAGTCTGTACATCGCAATCAACGATGTCTATCAAAGATGTCCGGTTTTCGAAAATACACCCTGGCTCAATCTCGAAATCTTGGCATGCCCACGACCATGAAGGCGTCCGTTAGGTATTAGAGACACTCTTAGATAACGGTGGCGAGACCCACTCAAGCTCAATTTTAGGATGCGACGGCTTCCACCCAAGCTTAATGTGAAGACGGCTTTTCCAGAGTCCTGCGCAGTATTCGTCATCGAACAACCGTTCCATAATCTTCGCAATACCGGACAGAGCGACTAGCTTGTCACTTGTGTATGTAAGGTTGCAACCGGTGTACATGGCAACGATATCACGCCAGAGCTGCCAAGGCGCACGCTTGGAGTCTTGAGAGCGCCTTTGCATTGGCATGGACTCATAGGAGTTGCCAAAAACCTCGTAGAGGAGATCAATTGGGATGGGTCCGAAGCTCAGCCATAGATTCTGTATTATCCAGTATTGTAGGTGCCCGGACCGTTCTGAAAGCCACCAGATAACTCGGGAAGTTGGCGGGAGACCATTTGGGAACATTTCACAGGCGCGTAAGTCATAACACTGCCAGAACATCTGGCTGCCACATAAAAAAAGCACTCTGGGGGCTAGTAATATTTCCTGAACAACCCAGGCTCGGTTAGTCAGCGGCATACCGGCTATAGTTTCATTCCAAGAGGTCTTTTGACACAGACGATAGCTGCCGTTAGCGTGGTCGTCCCAGTCCGTGTGAACGAAGCAGGGGTCCAAAAAAGATGTCGTTCTTTCCGGGAAACAACCCGCGTCGCTATCGGCAGCGATACTGGCAGCGATGTTTAGGGTACTGTTGCTGTAGACTTGACTCATAAGTGCTGACTCCTGCTGCCAGTCCAGCTCTGAATCCTGAAATATACACAAGCTGTCTATCCAAAGCAGACCGATGTCTAGTGATCGTGTTGTAAAGATGGCATCTTGGAAGGTCTGACTGAGCTCTGAAATAGCTATACCCATTTCGAGATCGTGAAAAGAAGCAGATGTCAACTTCAAGACGTTTGTTTTGCCCCAACAGTGACTTAAAGTAGCATAACCCGAGGATGTATCGAGTTTTTTCAGATACTGGTCGAAGGCGAACCTTATGAGGCTCCGGCTGGCCTATTTCGAGAAGACGAGTAGGAAGAAAGGAAGTATCGCGCGCGGAACGAGATGCTTTGCACCTGTTATGCGCTATGGAGCATTGCGAGAGCCAATTCCTGGCGCTGAGCATGCTTGACGACTAGTCTGCAGGATTGTAGTCGCCATCGAAATGAATGCAATTATCGGTTACTAAACAGTCTGTCAGGATGCATACGACTGCCTGCATACGACATTGAGAAGTGTTCCTGACTTCCACTTTTTTGTCTTGTCAACTTGGTGTTTTCGAGACTGTTACATAGCAGGCCGTATCCAATTTTTCGTTTGGTACATAATTCGCTCCAGATTTTCGATTCAAAAGACCCCGTTGATCATTTGCCTGGGACCCCGGAACAAGACAAGACGATGTGCTAGTGCTTGACGATGGAAAGGAGAAGAGAGAAGTGATGATGCAGCGTGAGGTGACGCGCGCCGATTGGCTATACGCCGACTCAATTAGCGGGTAGTGGCGACAGGGGTCTGACGCGACAGCGTTGCCCGGACGCAGCACATCAACACAGGACCAAATATACAGCGTGTCTGCATTGAATACGTTATCACACACCCTCCCACCTCTGTCTCACTCCAACTAATCATCTTCCTTACAACCTACTCTTGATCTCTACTTTTCTGGGGTGCATTTGCCTTTTGTTTCTCCTCAACTCCTACACCGTCTTTGTACTGCAGCTGCGGGTGACACAACAACGTGTGGCAATTCTCTCCTCAAAGACGACAACATGGCAGTTTCGACAAATGGACGAGGAAATGGTGCAAATGCGAATGTCGCACAGCGGTACGCCCCCTCACAATTCTGCCTTTGAACCCCACCATCCTCTACGTGTACGATAGTTTGATATGTCCTTGATACTAAAACACCTCCAGACTTCAAAAGGAGCTCATGGACATCATGACCAAGCCCACACCTGGTATAACCGCCTTCCCCGACGATGAGAACATGACGCTGTGGACTGCGACCATCGACGGCCCGGCCGACACACCCTACGCCAACCTCGTCTTCAAGCTGTCTATGGAGTTTGCCAACAACTACCCCTACAGCCCACCAACC